TTCGCGCCATCTGAGATTACACAAGCGCCCCTTTGAGTATCGGAACGTTATCGCAATGAAAAACAACCCTAGTTTTATGGGAAAAAATAACCCACTTATTGAGCGTAGAAGCGGCACCAATCTGAATTCACTTGCAGTTCAGGCTTTCATATTGTTTTCTTCTTGGCCAGTGCCCCCCTGCCATACAGCCAGCCAACTTCGAAGTATAGTAAGTTTCCAGCACATGTGGAACTCTTGCCGGGGCATCGTAGTTCTAAGTGCTCTCATGTGGGCAGCTCATATCTACAGCACAAAAAAATAAAGCCCATTTGAGAGTCTACACACCACAGCATTTACTTTGCCTCTGGTAGATTTTGATCCGACATTTTCGTAAGAGCGTGAGGTTCTATAAAAGTGCAACACTTCTTTTCTCGCCATGAGCAAACTACGGTAATAGCATCTTTTTCGAGACTCTGTTGGTGCGTAGCGGTGCGGAGAAAAGGAGCTGAACTAGCCCAACTCGGCATACAGGCCCGCTGTACAATTGGGAAAACCGGAGAGGTATACCCCACGCGCCCGCTATCTTGGACCCCATGCCTCTTCACTCCACTTTACAGCCACACTCGGAGAAACAAGGGTCGTTGTGGTCTGGCGCCTCACCAATAGTGATAAGAAAATTCATAGCGGCGTTCACCCTGTGAACGAAGGAATTGGTCTCATAATTGTGATAGCAATTATGTAGGCAGTCTCGGCTGTTTGCTCCTGTCACAGCCACCGTCATTCACGTATATATATATATATATATATTATATATATTATATATATATATATATATATATATATATATGCGGAGAAGAATGCGCTAGCCTCCTCTTTCTGTGAAGCGAACATCGTCTTTACGATCGTTGCCGCTCTATTCCGACCACAGTCAGCGCGCTACTTTGCCACCACAGCAGGCGGGAACTTCTACGGGTTTCTCTATAACCACTAAAAAATGGTGCCAGAAGTGTACCTGAAGCGACCCTCGACATATCGAAATGCTCTACACAACAAAACGCCATGAGCGGCGACACACGGCGTATAGTCCCTAGTACCAGCATGCACTGCCCACGGGAGGCGGTTCTTTTCAACGCCTTCACTACGCACGAGCCTTGTTGTGGTCATCTACTGTGGCCGTGTCGCAGGAAACATTGTTACTTAGCAAGTGCATGTTTCCAACCATTATATTGCTCTTAAAATGCTACGCTTGCTTCGTAATGCTTTTGAATACGTTGCTATCGCATTCAATACTTGGTCCTTTGAGCGAAATTGTCAGTTTTCTTTTTCTTTGCTCGGACAAGACGACGTAGAAAAAAAAATAAAGGTGAATGTCAATGCCACCCACGTAGCGAAGCCTAATCCAGTTCCCTTCGTAGTTTGAAAGAGGCCCATGTTTTGTGTTGCAAGTTTGTTAACACGTGAGCCGTTACAAAAGCTATTCGCAAGTTGTGTTTTACACGATAACGAAAAAGAAATGTTTCTTAGAGGTCTCTTGCTAAGTCTCTGTGCGTTCCCTATTGAAAATCTTGGGTTGGTGGATGCTGGAATTGTTGCAGGATATGGTGGAAAGAATACTGGTTATGGTGGAAACTGTAGTGAACATAATGGCTGATGAGGGCGAGAGAGGAGAAATTGATGGCTGATGTTGGTGGTGGCGGCGAGTTAATGGTGTTGGCGGTGGAAAATGCCGGCTGATGGCGAGAGGGAAAAAATGGTGGCAGATTGTGGTTGGTGGTGGCAGGGGCAAGTGCGGGCTGGTGGTGGCGATGCAAAAGGTGTTTGGTGGAAGGCTTGGTGAGCAAGCTGGACGAAAATGGCATGACGGAAGTTTGGTAGATGATGGTGGCATGATGAAAAAGCACATGAAAGTATCTGAAATCCCTTATTTTAGTGTTTATGTCTACGGTCATGTCTACGGTCAGAAGAAACCCACGCCGCTCATTACGCTTTCTAGCACGTTTATTTTGAATTCGTGTGGTGTCAACAACGCCTCAATTCTTGTGGAGCGTAGAATGCGGCCATGATTATGTTTACATTTCATGCACGTCAGTTTGACTTCCGCGATGTGCTTCTTCGTTGTGATGTTTGGAAGATTAGAGGAGTCAAAGTTAACAGTGACAATGATTATTTTACATCACCGTGCAGTTGTCGAGAAACAAATGAGCTCCACTTCGCAATCGCCTTTTCAATGTTAGAGCAGAACACAGCGGTCACTTGATGTCGCCACGCTAAAAACGCAACTCTGGCAATTCTTGCGCACATTTGCTTGAGCCGTACTTTTAAGTTAAGTGCGTGTGACGCTAATATGCATAAACGTTCACTTTCACATGTGTCGAGACGAGCCCCAGTGAATTTGACTTTCACCCTTCTTGTTCTACTATCACGATTTCTACCAAAGGTCAGTCCTACCAACCGAGCCCTTACAAATGTTATCGGCGCTTCTGGGTTGCAGAATACACAATTTTGACTTGTAAGAATGACAATACAGTACAGCCGCGGCATCATTTAACCTAAATGAAGCCTTTTTCCTTGTGCACAGTGTCCTAGCAGGAAGCGACAAATATTGATGCGACGCGCTTGCAGCACTTTCACCATATGTACGCCTCCCTCACCGACAGGCGCCAGTCGCACTCACCGGCGCTTCGCTGGCTGTTATGCGAGAACACAAACTCGTCCATTCGTATGATTACTGAAACCATACTAGAGCATAATTCTTCTGGCACACTGAATTTGTTTTGGCCAAACCGTTATGTAGTTGTTTGTAACTACAGAGCAACAGCGGTGCTCTGGCACGACCGTGCTGTGTGCTGCGGGAAAAGCATCACAATCAATTGTGTGGGCGTATCTATCGAATGAGCATATAGGTGTCATGAAGTCTGAACAGATATCGCCCTTTGGAAGAGGCGAGAAACGGTTATCAAACTTGGCAGTAGCCGCCGATAAACTCTACCCACTCCTCAGTCCACTGGTTTTTTTTTCGTTGCGGTTGTAAATTGTAACGAAAACTTAGCGCTGTTGCCATTATCGCAGTGGCAATTGTTACAAGCAGCATTTGTTTGTGTTTATCAAATACGCGAATTTTAGTAGCAGGTGCAGGCAGATCCCGTCCATATCGAGTACGCCACAACCACAACTGAAGTTAAACGGTCAGCTTTTAAGTTAAATAGTCATTTAACAGCAAATGTTTCATGTGTCAGCTTGGCGCAGTGAATGGTGTGGTCAGTTTGGAATCCGGTGGTTGCGGGTTCGATTGCGCGTGGTTTCAGCTCTTTTTATTTCTTTTTACGCGAGCTTTCCACATCGTTTTATATAACATTTTTATTATTTCTTTAGTGGCAGCTCGTCACGGTGGTTCTGACGCTGCTTCGGGCTCCAGCATTGCTGGCGCTTCACCATCCACTAAACGCCCCCGTACGCCATGAGCCACCAATATCTTCAGCCCCATAATCCACCAAAACTGATGCATAATGAAATCCACCATTAAAAAGGGCGGACGTTTTATCATTAGGGTCGTTTTGATTCGATCCTTAAATATTTGTGCGGAAGTCACTGTGTAAACTCCCGAACTCTAATTACAATCCTGTATTACCGCAATAACAAGATCTGTTTTGAGGTAATATTTTTCATGGCTGTTCACGCTGAACAGTTGCGACAGCGCAGAATAGTCGAACTAAGCTGTCTGCGATGGTCACGACTTCTTGAATCATTCGCCATCAGAAGGAATAAATATGAATACATAATGCCGATACATGTAGTGTATTTTGCATGAGCTGTGCACTACACAGTTACGCATATTGTTTGGTTATAATAGTAGAAGCATGTCAATAAGAAAAACCTCAACTTCTTCATCGGAAATCATAGACTATATGTACTCATTTTTGACTATTACAGAGCTGAAAATGGATGTTGTATTGAAAGATTTATGTACAGTGTTGCTGAAATTGAACCTTTTTTCGCAGTCACTGGTCACATTGACCAGTTATATTGGATTTGTTTCATATATACTTTGTCATTCCCAGCAGTTGTCACAGAAAAGTATAGCATACGTCAATTGAGTTGCCCTAAATTGCTGTAGAGTCACCTGACCTACAGCAGGTGGGTATCATTTGACCCTTGTAGGAGCGCCACCAGCAAACAAAAATTGACTTCATCAGAAGTGGGAAAGTGATAGCTTAGGATTCGTCTTTGCCCTCTTGGTTGGTTGATTCATTGATATGTGGGTTTTAGCACCGCCGAACCACCTTATGATTATGCGAGAGGTCGTAGTGGAGGGTACAGAAATTTAGACCACATGGGCTTCTTTTACGCGCACCCAAACCTGAGCACATCGGTCTACAGCATTTTTGCCTCCATCGACAAATCAGCCACCGCAGCCGGGATTCTACCCGTGGCCTGCGAGTCACCAGCCGAGTACCTTAGCCACTAGACCACCGCGTCAGATTTCGATTCTTCCCGAGATGGTCCAGTGACAATGTTAGAGCGTGCACACTGACTTTCCAGAAGAGTCACGATTCCTTTCAAAGATAGTCGTATACGGGGTAAGTTAGAGCTCTGCGAAAGGAGTATCCCACACTTTTTTTCTTCTCGAAGAGCAGGACTCCCGAAATAGCGACTTTTCAGTCCTCAACTTGTTCTACATCCTACGCACATGTTTTCAGCAATTTGTGATAAGAGTTCCTAAAGAAAGTGCAAAGTACAATTTTCAAACCTGAGAGTTGATTGGGTGACTACGTTGCTTCATTCGGCTACCTTCTTATAAACCCTATTCACCTGCTGCTTTTATGGTAGCTGTTCGTATGGCGTCCATTGCGAGGTCATAAAAACCGTGAGCCCACTCTGCTGTGTCACTTCAACAAAAGCTGTCCCCACAAGGCTTTAAAACGTATTGGACAGTAAGTAGTAATAACGATTGACAAAGTATTCTTAGCGAAGTAAAATATTTTCTGCAGGCCAACACGTTTTCTCCACGGAAGACAACTCACCCTCCTGCGATTCTCCATTGTAGTCGATGATGTCGTATTTCAATTGCTCGCAGCCTCTCAAAAACTCGGTAGGGAGGTCCGTCTCGTAATTGGGATACGTCACAGGAATGTCTCCGGAAGTTCCACGATACTGTTCTGCGTTAGGAGAGGAACACTTGATCTGTTTATAAAGTATTACACCGCATTTTGTTATGTCTTGTTCTTTATACGTGTATATTTTTATACACAAGCCTTTTTATAAATAATCATCTCTGTCAGATGGATATGCTCGCAAGTATCTATTCAAAGTAGAACATTCTTAATAAAATAGTATATTAACTACGACCAGGGTTTTATATTAAAGATGTTAGGTAATCCTTGTTGCATACAAAGCTTCTTTGAAAGGCAATAAGGGATGTAGAGAACGATCACGATAGACATTCTCCATCCCAAAATTTTATTGCCGTTAACAATACGCTAGTCCACAAGTGCTAATTTTTCTGCTGTGTAGAAGGGCACATGCATTGCTGCTTGTCTCAAACTCACTGCTGTCAAGTTATGTTATGGCGAATGTTCCAGATTCGGTTGATCGTTCGAGCAACGCGGGCTACTTAGAGCAATAGCTCAATATGGGGACCTTCAAAAATGCTGAGTGCAGGTACACGAAGGTAAGTAAAAAATAAGGCAGCTTTCGTAATGGGTGACAAGCCACAAAGAACTGTGGAGCTGAGCTGCCTTGTTCGCTTTTTTTCAGTTTTTCTTTCTTGCCTACTCTATTTTTACTTTTTACGCTTTTTTCCTGTTTTTGCGTTTTTCTGTCTTACTTTCCGTTTCTTCTTCTCTTTGTTCAATTTAATATTGCTGTTTATAATTTTTACTTATATTCTTTCTTTTCTCAATCTTGTTTGCTTCCAACTTCTTGTCCTGGCGCATAGTTTTTCATGCATTACACCAAGCTTCGACAGTATAACAGCATACGAGAGCCCGGTTTCTCGAAGTACTGCACAACAGTTATCAAGGTGCTCGTAGAACAAGAGAAAGGAGACCTTTCTCTCGCGTGAGCGTTCAATATGCCACAGGTGGGTATAGTATTCGCGGTTTTGCGTGCTATACGCAAAGCTAAAATGACTAGCAATGACAGCATACAATAGGAGCCTTAAAGTCCTGCACCTTGAAATAACACACATATGCTGCGAGAAGTTAATGGCGAAGTCAAAGCTATCTTGCGTTTTTTTTAATATATCATCCGAGCATATGACAGATCCCCACTGCTGCTGCTGCTGATGATGATGATGGCCTAAACGCATGGCTCACATCCGCTCTGGGCGATTGGCCAAGAAATGATTAATTGAATTTCGGGGTCACACATTACCTTTCAAATCTAATAAACCTGAATATAGTTAGAAGAAATCAAGTTTCACTAACGACGAAATTTGACATGAAAACCACCTTTATTCAATTAAAATTTTTTGTACAGCAGAACAGATATCCCGGTAAGAATTACCTAATGAGGAGGCTGCCGAATAGAGAATATTAGAAATAGTGAAATCCAATCTCATTTGATTAAAAGCCGCTTTAAGAATGTTTTTCCTGGGTGATTTGAAGCGGCTGCACGATAAAAATTACTAGTCGATTGTTTCACACCTGTTACAGAGTGAACAAAGAGGGGAAGGAGGCAGACCAGCTCTATGCATGTAGTAATTCAGTTTTGGAACTCCACAGCGTTCTTTCGTAAAAATAACTTCTTTGCGTGTTGACCAGAACTTCATACGCCACGAGAACAGAATGTTTCGTCGATATTCTCATTGGTTAGTGAATAATGTTTTACCATAGTCTTCGATTATAGCATGCCTTCAAAATCTAACGTATTCTAAGTGCTGATGATTCGAAATCTAAGTGCTGATGTGCTGCCTGCAGTGACAATTTTCTTCATACTTCACTGCTGTCATTCATCCTATCAGCCACGAATTTTATTCAGAAAATAAGTGATGCGGCTCATAGAATAGTAGCAAAAAGCTATTACACGCTTAGGATTTTACAATAAAAGCAATGCAGTTGCGTTATGGAGTCACATTATCAACAAACCGGCCTTTTTTCCTTGTACTCTTGCTGCACATACATGGGGTGGCGTTCGTTTATTTGTCAGTGGCACGACATTTCACAATTCAGGGTTGTTATTGGTAAGGTACATGTACTGTAACTGTACTACAATATTTTCAGCCAACTAAATCTTGTTCATTCAGGGCTCACACGTATACACGCACCAATTAATGTGGGTGTCAATATTGGACAGTGTCATGCCCTTGAATGCATTTCCATGCTCCACGATGTTGTCGGCAGACTCCTGATCTTCCAGCTGTGCCTTGATCATGCTGCTGATACTAGAGTTTCTCTCGGAGTGAACTTCAACCGATGGCGACACTTAAGCAAACTTTTGTTTGCAGCGTCATTCGGCCGATACCGAGTTGTGGCTCCGTCTATTAAGTCCTCGGGTAGTTGCTCGATACAGTGAGTAAGGAGGGTCTTCTCTCTGGATTTATCTGACGAGGCTTGTTGCTAAAATCCATTGCCAACTCATTGGTCTTTCTTGCACATAGTGCTCTCTATCTGGTTCCTTATTTTTGGGAATCATAAACTGCATGTTATTTTCTAACATGATAGCATTTATTTGATGTACTTCTATTGTCGGTTCTCGGGCCCTGAAGGTCAATAAAATAAATTGAAATGAATTGTAGACCAGATGTCAAATTCAACATATCTTCAATATTTACTGCGAATACCTCAATCCACCGGTATCCAGTAGTAGCAGTATAGTTTATACAAATCCCTAAAGCGAGCCGGCGCCTAAGCTCAGACTTCACTCTCCCAAAATTATGTCTCCCAAAAATCTCTGTCCCGATACAGCACGCACGCGTTATCGAAATGATGCACACAACCGCACAGGACAGAGATTTGTTAACCCGTTTGATAGTAGAAGCGGCTGAAATGACACGCGATGATTTTAATTGTGTTAGTCAATATTTACTGCGAATACCTCAATCCACCGGTATCCAGTAGTAGCAGTATAGTTTATACAAATCCCTAAAGCGAGCCGGCGCCTAAGCTCAGACTTCACTCTCCCAAAATTATGTCTCCCAAAAATCTGTCCCGATACAGCACGCACGTGTTATCGAAATGATGCACACAACCGCACATGACAGAGATTTGTTAACCCGTTTGATAGTAGAAGCGGCTGAAATGACACGCGATGATTTTAATTGTGTTAGTGCACCCTCTATCTGGCTCACGCGGAAAGAACTATGTTTTTTGGATGGGGTGATAGACAATAACTGATAGTAATGTACGGGACTGGCACGTGTGATTTTGTTGTCTACCATTTTTTATTCTTATTTTTCTTTTCACCCCCTTTATAAACCCTGACGTTTGCAATAAATGTTTAGTTCAAGTTAGGCGCTTGTGTTGTGTGCTCTTTGTAATAGTGGCTGCGCTTCCTAGCAAGATGGGTCCTTACCAACTGGCCCGATACAATTGTGTATTCAGCTGAGCCTTGGCAAAGTTTTACCTTCCCTCGTTGTCACCTCGGACTATGTGCATGGGGCTCTTTGTGGTTATCTGAAGGAAGAAGTTGGTGCATGCTATTTTTTATTGGCACGTTTAGCCAGCGAATATCTAGCGGGAATAAAATTTAAAAGGTTGTATAGAGACCTTGTCGACGTTGTTTGACCGGTACCACTTTACAGGAGTTTGTATTCTGCTAGATGCAACCAAAATGTAGTCGCCTGAGTAAAAAAAAAATGGCTGTCCCATTCAGTTCTAAATCATTTTTCTTTAAGCGCCATAGAGGCACTCTTGAAGTTAAAACAGGGAAGCCAGAAAGGGTAGCGTTTGTACTATGGGGAACGCACTGTTTTCCTTGTCGTAAACCTAACACCATCGAACATGTCTTTTTGGATTGTTAGACGGTGGCGGTGTCGGACAACTGCGCGTAACCTGAGTTGTGATCCTTTCACAGCTTTCACGGCAGAACAAAACTGCACTCACCACTGGCGTTTGGAATCATGGTCTTTTCGATGCTCTTGAAGTGGTGCAAGACGTCTTCATAAGCCCAGCCTTCGGCCCCAAACTTGTTTCTCCAATCGTCATAGTCGCGCGGGTTCCCGCGAACGTACAGCATGAAGTTAATAGCACTGGACCCTCCTAAGGCCTTGCCTTTCGCCCAAGGGCACACCTGGAAAGAAAAATTGTGACTTGCTGCACAGAACTGAGGTAGAATAAATTGGCGCAGGCAGGTTCGGTACAATGACTCACGATACTACCTTGTCCATAGGTCAACAAACTGAACCATCAGTCGACTCACTCGAACTCTGATCACGTTGTGAGCCTGAGGAAGTTCGGTAATATTTTCGCTAGTTTCACTGTTAGTTGAAAAGAAAATGATTCTTGGTGCGTCAGCCTGGTTGAAGTAGATTCTGAGGAGTGTGCCCGAGTGAGCCCTACAGCTTTTTTGCAAAAATTTGGTTCTATTTACTCAACGTGAGCATGCCTATAAGCCTTATGACGGCTCCCACCTATACTCACGCCGACTCGCATATACTTCCACGCAGCAGCATTCATACAACAGCCTAATATTGCCCAGATGCGTGACATACGAAGGAGGAGAGGGACAAAATGACCTCCCGACCGTCAAACATTTCCGAAAATTCTTGATAAAGTTATATTGCGTGAGTCACGTCTTCCAATGAATATATATTCACTGCATTGCAACTACTATCATCTTATACTTGAAATTACCAGATCAAAAGGGCCAAGCAGAGGACAGATCATGCCAGATGTGGGTGTTGAAGGCCATCGAAACGCTAGTTGAAACAGCGAATGGTCTGTTGACAGGCTCATGAGTCAGCTCAGACTCGTATTGTGTCATGAGTGAGTGAATACGAGTGAGTAAAGTTTTGGTGAATGTGGGTCCTAGCGAGTCCGTCTGAGAAAACATTTAATGAACAGGTGTCCTAATGAGTCTGATTGAGGGAAATTTTGGTAAGTTTGAATCCAAGCGAGACTGAAGGGCAAAATATATTTCGTGAGTGAACGTGACTGAGCTCCACATTTTTTGCCAACCAACGATGTTTTTAATTAGACCAGAAATAAATGTGTGACTATATGGTCTAATCAGCATATATTTTACGGTATTTACAAGTCAACCAACCTCTTACTTACAAACCTACACTGAGTCGTTTTTGTTACTCATAAAATAAACAAGGTTTCATTCAATCCGCTTGATTTGTGACGACTGCTTTGTTATGGCTTTCACGTCCGGCAATCAGTTTTTCTCAGGCGCGTTGGCAATTGTTAAAGGAGATGATGTTTTAGGACGCAACTCGGATATAAAGAGTAAGAGACTTACACTGCAACTTTTTTTTGCCTCTGATAGGTCATTTCTAAGTTTAGCGCTACGGTATGATGACCTCCTGCTACTACAACGCGGTATACTTGAAATAAAGCAAACAGTAATTTTCATGGGTGCGATCTATTCTTTAAAGAAGTGATTTCAAATAGCACGACATAACACAAACTCAGAAATAGAGAAAGAACAGGTCAGTCCTTTTCACGGCCAAAACTGTATTGCTAAACCTTTCGAGATTATAAACAACTTTTTTGTAGGACAAAGCACCGATCGTTTCATGGCCGGTACCACATATGAGAGTTAACCAACGAACCAACATTCAACATATGCTAAGAACAACAAAAAACTGACAGTCCAAATTAGAAAACCCTTTGCAGGGTTCTTTAAGCCTAGTATTCAAGATTTCGCCCTTAAAACGAAGCCCAGTACCACCGGAAGCACAAGGGTGTTCGTTTTATTGCGAAACAATGATATACAGATTATTCGAATTGTTTTAGACATATATTAGGAGCTAATTGGAGCAACAAATGAAATGTTGTATTTTATATGAGTACAAACTTTACTCCTCGATACCGATGACATATGGCATGTACAGTTTAGCCAAAATGCGGAATTGAGGTGTTTAGGAGTGAGAAACAGATTCACAAAAAAGTCACAGTTTGCCGCAATGGCGAAGCAGTGATTGCGATAGCATTATCTAGCAATCACGCGAAGCATTGTAGGCCTATCAAAACTTGCCCCGCGTTGCTCACCCACAAATGACTCATGAAACGTATTCACAGGTACAGACGAACGTGAATAAGTGTCCCAGTTACTTCGCTGTGTCTGAAAAGTGCGTTCTTTTGCAAACTGAGACTGTGCAGCGAGTGCAGTGGCCATTGTGCGCCTAGTAACTTCAACAGAGTCGTTCTGGTGAAAGCCCAAGGCGTACGATCATCCCTACTTAGAGGTAAGCGTGCGCACGTGTGAGTATCTATCTCCCCCCCCCCCACCCGCATCCAGCAGGCAAAGTACGCGTGGGAGATGAAAGCGTCGGCGCTCGTCGCTGCGTCGTGACGATCTGGCGACGCTTGCTGATTGCGCTATCTCGCTGGTGAGGCCGCAAAGACAATAGTTCCCCCGATATTGGCATTGGTAAGTTTAAATATAGGTTGCCGTTTCAACGTCGAAGGAGGTGATCCTTCGTGGCTCAGTGTGTGATGCCACGCACTCAAAAGCGAGTGTCCGGACGTTCAATTCAGCGGGCCAGAGTATTTTCCGGGATTTTTTTCTTTCTTGCCCAGTCAGGTGGTTAAAGACTTCCTTTCGCGTTACCCCGCTGGTAAACCATGTATATGTGTTGTAGGAAAAAAATAAGTAAATATAGATACGTATACATATACGGTCAATGACGGCGGTCGTCAACGCCATCATTGACGCTGATGACGGCGCCAAATCCAGCCGAGAGTGTTCAAATATTTGAAGTCGCAATAAAAAAAATGCTTGAGAAGTCTTGGTCTTATAGTAAGGGGCAAAAAATGTGTTTTTCTTAGTTGCAATTGAAGTGTATTCTGCTCTGTAGGGGCAAGACGAAATGGGAGACAACGTCGTGAAGGCGGCCGACGTGGTCGTGTCGTTCTCGCCAATTTATATCAGGACTGAGGCGGAGCGGCGGCGGCTGCGAGCGTCCGACATGCCAGGTGCGCGAACCCGTTCTGTGCTCGCTCCACTTGAGCTACAAATGAGCGGCAAGAGAGTCACGGCGTGTTGGTTAAGAAATGATTATGAATGACGGGGAAGGCGACGCTACAGTTACTCTCCCCCTCCACAATTGTTAACGCTGAATGAAAACAATGAAAACGCATATACAAGAGGTCGCGAAACGAAAAAAGTCCGTGAGCTGTCCAGGTCGTCAGCGGAAAAGTACTATCGGCAACCTGTGGGTCTCTGACACTGGAAAAAAAAATCGCAGTATATCCACGGAGTGAATTATAAATTGGGCGAAGCTTCGGAGGGTTTTATCGGTAAATCGTCCGTCCATCTGCTGGCACCATCCATCCGTGTGTCCTTCAAAGCGTCGGTCTATCCAGTGAACACTCCAATCACGTGATCTCCCATATTTTAATAAAAAGAGGACTTCAGTTTTGGGAGCCCTTATGTCATGTTGGCTTGGCTGAAGAACGCTGTCACTACTACGGTCCGTGCGAGATCTTACGCCAGTTGTCTGACCTTATGAACAAAATCGCACCAGCCGACGTACCTTTGCTACCTTACGTCAGCAGTGACGTGGATCAGGTCACCAGGCTCAAACCCCTTGTACCCGCTTTAACTGGTGCTCGATGATTTGCATCGGGACGGAGCTAGGCTCACCCTAAAGGGTCATGTTTCGGTAAAGTGAAGAAGAAGAAAGCTCGTTCAGAATATAGGAATACGACAGGATTTATCACCGCCTTGGCGACCTTTGTAATTGATGCCAATACAACAACTCTGTACTCGTGTGCCTAATTTGAGAACGAGAAAAGTCGATCTGCTAGGAGAAAGACGACGAAACCTACCACCGGCTGGGAAACCTCTGAGATTTCTGGTAATGCGCGAACTGTGCACTCGTGGGCCTGTTTTGAAAACAATTGATTGCTATGTGGGGTTAAAGGTCCCGAAAATGCCATATGTTTATCAGAGATGCCGTAGCGGAGGGGTTCGAAAATTTCGACAACCTAAGGCTCTCTACCATGCAGCTAAATCTGAGCACATGGGCCCGCAGCATTTTCGGCTCCATCAAAAAAGCAGCCGCGATTCCATACCACGACCGGCGGGTCAGCAGCCGAGTACCTTAGCCACTAGACCGTCACAGCGGGGCTGTTTTGAAAACAAGCAAGCTCGCTCAGATTGGAGGAAGACGACGGGACTTATCGCCGCTTGGGCAACCTCTGCAATTACTGTCATCAGTACTCTACACTAGTGTGCCTGTTTTTTCTTCGCAACAATATAGTCCTCATTTAAAAGTACCACCGTCGGGCTGACATTCAAAAAACTTGACGAGAGTTGGCTACCCACAAATACAAACATTAACGACGTATGACCCATGGCCTAAGGATCTTTTTCTATTTGACTGGAGTCGTGCGTTCACAATGCTGAAACAGAATAAAACATACGTTCTTATCAAGCCAGCAAGGGGCGAGTATATGACATGTTGTATTATTTTACACGATGCTCATTTAAGTGATAATAATCTATAATTACGCGGGCTGGACGGAACACCAGATTTATGAATCCGAATGACTTCTGCAGTTTTCCAATCCACTGGTAGTAATGCTTCGTGTTCTTAAGAAATTTAGAGTTTTTCTTCGACGCCATAGAAAGAAGCGTTTTCGTTTGTGGAGTATGGCACAAATACCAGAAAAATTGCGTAATCGGTTTCGTCGCAGAGCGGGTAAATTGACGAAACAGAAGATAACCATGAATTAATGTGCATGAGAAGGTATTTACGAACGTGTCGTTTAGTGTATTTGCGCAGTCATTACCAGTAAATATAGCACCAGGTGGTGCGGTAAGGGATTTTTTTCCATCTTTTTACTTTGTAATACTCAAAATCGTTTACACTTTGTTAAGAGTATGTTAGAGTGGTGTTAAAATGTGTGAATGTGGTTCTTCTTTGTATGAACAACTAATGTACAACAGCTCTGTATAAGAAACAGCAATCCGTAGTTTTAGTTGTTTATTAGAATTAAAGTAAAGTCGCTTTTTCTTCCTACTTTATCAATTAAGCTAAATAAAAAGCCATGGTGCTGAGCTGCTACTGCACACACTTTATAGCCGAATATATTGTTTATAGTTTCCTGGATTTTTTT